TCTTCGTTTTTTCGCTTATGCAGAACCGTGTTTGAGTTCGACATGGTCGTGTTCAAGTGCAACTCGAGCTGGAAATGTCCTCATCGTTCCGTTCCGGTCCAATATGCTCCGAAGTCCTCGATTTTGTTCCTCTGGTGTCCATAATGCATATATTACCCGTTCAACCACCAAAGAATGCAAAGGAAACAAAACCCAATACTAAAATAATCCTAAATGTCTAATAATGCACAAAACCGATGCGAAAATGTTAGACAATGGGCCTTAAAATAGAGGAGAAAATCATGTTATCAGACACCAGCTGCAGAAATCGAAGGCTCGTTCACATTAAACTTCTCAGCTAACTAGAAGCAGAGTTGTCGAAGTTATTCAGGAGTACAGGTATCCATACAGCTCAGGAGATTGTCAGAGACTGGTGGCTTGGATTGAACAGAAGCCACAATGCCGGAGTTTCCTGTTGGAAAAGGTTTCGAAGAACCATAACCCTTTTGGCCTTGCTGGAGAAAGCGAGAATGTAGTGGAGGAACAGTGCTGCGAGAATTTGTAGAAACTGTAGAGGAAGCAGAGGATGCTCTGTATCCCGGTGCCATGAAGACGGTAACATTTGTGGATGGTATGCCCCTGACCACCGCAATGAGTACAAACAAGTCTGGAACGACTTTTATAAGAGGGGAAGAAATGGCTGCAACCACTTTATCAGAAACATCCTCAACAGATCCAGAGGTTTGGAAAACATGAGATGCTGGTGAGGGAGAATGCTTGATCATCTGTTGTTGTTCATGCTGAGTAATCAGGTTGAACGTCTTTTCCAAGTCAAGAAGAGGGTGAAGCATGATTATTTGTCCTCAAATAGTGTCATAGGAGGCATTCAATCCGAACAAAAATTCCAGAACAAAATCTTGTTCACAAGAATCGTACCATTCCTTGCTGATGTTGCAGGAAAAATTTCCACATTTACAGTGTGGAGTTGGCTTTAAAGACTTGATCTCCTCCCAGATCGATCATGAGGAATTTTGTGTAATAAGTGGTGACGTCCATGAAACCCTGCCGAAGAGACTGCAGACGCTACTTGATACCGTAGAGTCTTGGTGCGGTGTTCTGTTGAAAACGCTTAGTAAGACTAAGCCAAATGTCACGAGCCGTCTGAAGATACAGAAAGCTGGGAGCGATGTGTTTGGTGCCGGAGTTGACGAGCCAGGAGCTGACAATAGAGTCATTTCGAAGCCAAGCACGAAGTTCTGAGTGCTCATCAGCGGGTCAAGGCAAGGTACCGTCGACGAAACAGAACTTGTTTCGGCCATTCAAAGCCATTTGAATCGCCCGAAACCAAGTGTTGAAATTGTCGGTACTCACCAAACGATCAGAAACCAGTTGAAGATTGGCTTGGTCGTTGGTGCCGAGAAAATAGGGGTTATCGTATGAATCAGTGGAAGGAGGAACAGAAGAAGTCTGTCCAGAGGAATCCGGTGTCGGAGTGGACGGCTGAGAAGATCGCCCAGCGACCACCGACGCAAAAGAAGCTATGGAAAGGCGAAAGAAAGATCAAGGATCAACAAAGAAAAGAGGAAGCGTAAGAGCTGAGGTGCTCTGATACCATATTCGAGTTTTAGAAAGAGAAATTGAGCTCTGCAACAATGGTGAAACAGAGACAAAACGAAGAGATGGAAATTTCCTGAATAATTTTTCCTGTTACATTAAAAAGTGAATACAATGGTCTTTATATACAAGAGAAAAGTATGTGTACTATGTTTTGCAATAAATTAAAAAACGGCTTGTCGGTGGAATCTTCATAGGAGTGGAGAGCAGGTAGGAGTTGACTATGTGTTTATGTTCTCTATTTCATATACACCATCATTAATGTCGTCAGAACTGTCACTTGTACTTTTCGAACCGTTGTCTAATACCAACGACTACATGAAGAGCCGCTACATCCATCCTACTGAAATACTCTTCTGCATGAGTCGAATAGCATGGATGGTACGTTTCCTCCAAATAACTTCTTATTTTTTTAACCCTAAACCCTACAGGAGATTCTAAAATTGGATCATAGATCATGTCGTGAATTAGATCTACCCAGAATATTATTAAAAAAAATTGAGAGTTTGGGATCACATAATATACATACATATATATATATATATCAAAGATGGGTGTTATATTATATAGGACATTGGATCCAAGTATATTGGTTGAATGAAAGGGCGGTCCCATTTTCAAAAACTTGGAAAGTGCCTAATTCAGATGTCGCGCCATATCCTATGGTCGAACAACCTGGTTATATATAGAAGAAGTTAACCTCCATTGAGCCAGAGAACGAGCAGTCGTTTTGAAGGATCAGACGACAGTTCACACTTCACACCGACATAGTATCGGCCATACACTATATCTAACATATATGGAAACTAAGCATAATGTATGCACATTACATATTCTCGTATTATGTTTCCTTGTTCACAAATGTAGGTCAGAAATATGTCTTATGTATAAAGCATTGTAAACATGGGTGAATAACGGGGTGCCGAATTCATCTTCTCTTCGTCATTCTTGATACGTGATACATAGCCAGCGAATCGGGAGATTGATGGAGTGGGAGGTTGCTGGGACAATTTCTTAACTCTCTCTGGATCCGATGCTTCAACATTGTACCAAGGTGGCGCTATCAACATTGTGATGGATATCATTAATTAAACATAGTTTAACCATCGACGAATCCATGGGGGGGATTTAATTTGTGGATTGCATTGCATTGATATCCTGAGGGTATATATATATGTGGAGACAAGAGTAATGAATGAGGGATTTTGGTTGATAAAAAAAGTACAAAGTATGTGTTGTGGTCACATATGATTTGATCCAAGTGGATGAATCCAACTTAAGGTCTAAATTGGTTTATATATATAAATTATATTGTTTAAGATTCAAATCGGTATATGTATATGTATATGTATGACGATATTCAATATTGAAACATATAAAAAAATAAACAAATTAAAGAAATTAAAACATGGTGTCACATGTTTTTTTTTATAATATATGATCGACAGAATTCGAACTCTTGGATGTGCACAACACTTTGTATTTTCACGACCTCCAAACCACCAACTCATGAAAAAAAAAAGTGTAACTTTTTCCACATGTGATGAGCATTAACTCACTTAGCATTTCAAGTCGAAGATTGAAACACCTCACCCCACACACACACTTCCCTACCACTCTTCATTGACTCATATTTATACAACTTTTTTTTTTAATTTCAAGGCTAAATCATTGATTGTAGAAAAACATCTGTATTTTAAATCATGAAACATCAATACATCTATGCTGATATCTGAATATAATAAAATTGAGTTGTTGTTTTGTTTTTCTAATTTCAAAGATAAAAATTATGCATGAATATCAAAACTTGGGATTGGGTGAGATTGAGAAGGAAAAAAGAGAGCGGGTTGAATCGGTCGAGTCGAGTTTTATGAGCGAACTCGGCCCAAAGATTCATGGATCGGTAAACGTCTTATGGGCCTACTTACTTCACCATAGACTCTTTCGACGTTCATTCAAACGATAATGGGTGAAACCTGAATAAAGCATAGTTAAGGGGCTAAAATGAGATTTTAAAAAAACTTATAGGGGACGACGGAGGGGGATTGGGATGGGCAGACAACGCTACAAAGGGGAAATTTACTCATTCTTCTTTGTTCCTAATAATTGTAGGGGGGGACCCCTTCGAGACTTAAAGACTCTCCTTTCCCCCCTCTTTTCTTTTCTTTTTTCTAATTAATACGGTAAAAAAAAAAAGGAAAATCAAGATTCAATGAAAGAAATCCATACACGATTTCGTGTTATATGAAAAAAAAAATCAAGTATATGGCTAACGATGTCCATAAAATAAGCTTTATCACAAGTAAATATGAGGGCCATGTATATCCAAAATAATAATGAACTCAAAGCGCAATGAACTGTGATTAAAAATAATGATTTAGGTACGCATGCCTAGGGGGTTTCGGCATTGCCCATTTAATTAATTAATTAATTAATTATATTATTATTATTATTATTTAATGCATTGTTTTGACCATTTTATGTCTTAGGAGACTGTGATTCTCCCCGCACGCCCACAAAGTTTCTATTCCCCACAAATCTCCATACTTCTTATTTTAATTTTTAAAAACAAAAATTATCCCAAACCTTGCTATCTCAAAATTTAAAAGGGATAAATCTTCTTAAAAACAAATACTAAAATTTAGGAGATAAAAAAAATCATGTGGGGGGAAACAAAAGCATCTGCCTTTTCATGAAATTGACAAATGGGGAATTCCAGTTACCAAGATTCTCTTAATTTGCTCGAATTCGGTCTCCTCGCCAATTACTATAATAACTTTAATTAGCTGGAATCCTGTATCTAAGTAAATACTGTTTGTACAATAATATATACTATATTATAATAATAATATTAAGAAAAACCACCACATGGTTTCTGACCACACACATACAAGAATCCAAGTCATCTTACTACGAACTCGTTTAGTACCAATAACCAATACCATTTCCTGCTTTTATTACTTCATATTCGATTAAATTTTCTAAAGCATGCTCCTTATTATATGATATAACCATATAACAAAATAATAATATATGACATATATATGTATGTATTGTAGATTACATTGTTATAAGGATAGAAAAAACATGTCGTGAATTAGAGCATGACCCCAATACAATATAATACTCGTGATTATCCATTTTTATCGGGTTAATTTGAGGGGAAATATTAAAAAAATTAAAGGGGGTTTGACCGGTTGACTTGGGAAGGGAGAGTCAGCTGACCGAGGACCACCGTAGGGCAGGGCGGTCAGGTCGGTAGCTGACGTCATATGGTTGGTTATAAGGTCATTTGTGGGCTAATGACACGTCACAATCCCAGAGTCCTAATTGGGCCCGGCCCACCAGGGTTTCCTCTCCCTTTAAAAACCTCTTCCACAATCTTCGTTTCATTCGTCACACTCTCTCTCTCTCTCCGAGATGGAAGAGAGAGAAAAGCTCTCATGGATGAAGAAGAAAACGAGCCAGAAGTGGCTTCTAGGTTAGCATCTCGATCCTATGGTTATATCATCTGTACATATACATATAAACATGCATATTATGCGTATATGTGTGGGTGTGAACTCAGATGTGCATACATACTACTGCATTAGTTAGGGTTATACAAACACACACACACATATGTGTATATATATGTATATATGTACATGTGCCTGCTGTTTCTGCTTGCTGTTGCTGGTTTTTTATATTAGCATGATCCCTGCATGATCATTATGAAACAAAAAAACAAGATCCATGAGCGCTGATGCACATAATACATTTCATCAGCATATATATATATATATACACACACACACACTCGTATATACAAACATGTATGCAAGAAACGTGTAAAATATGTATCGATCTATTTACCGTAATATCTATTCTCTCCCCTCTAGTAGGTTTGCATTTATTTAGTTCATGAGAAGATATTGACAATTAAGTTGAATCTTATTTATGGAATTTTGTGTATGTTTTTTTTTTGGGTGAAATTTTGTGTATGTTTGTGTGTGTGTGTGTATAGGAAATGCATACTTATATGAGATGTTTATATAGGCGTATGAATGCATATCAATACAGAGAGTGAGTTTTTCTCAGTATGTGCGTGTGTTGTGAACATCAGGACATCTAACGGCCTCGTCTCTATTTGTCTACTCACTGCTCTTGTATGTTTACGTTGGCATGTGTATATATGCAATACACCCCCCCCCCCCCCCCCTCACAAGTTAGAAACTTTATCAGTGAAAATACAGACATTCTTCAACGAAGAAGCGGGATTTACCAGCAGAATTACTAAACACGGCGATGTCATGCCCAAACCACCACACACACACACACATATATATATATAACATATATATTGTTTGGGCACTATTTATATATGTGAAATTCAGCGGTTGTAATACATGCAATGTATGAGATTACCATAACATAGACTATTCTTTTACCTTGCTACCAATATTCTTTTACTTTCGATTATTTGTTTGCTCGTATCATTAACCCTTTAACTTGTACTACTCACCGATTTGGATAACATCCGACGGCCTTTATGTCTGTAAACTATACACACACACACATATATATATATATATTGCCGATCCACTTACTGAAAAATTATTGTTGGCTAACTATATATGGGTGTTAATCCACATCATATATCCATGATTCTTGTGCAGGAAATAGTAATGACAAAAATCAAGCAACTACAACTCCCCTTGCATCATGTTGTTTCACCAAGTCCCCTCGTCGTTGCTGTTGTGGCGTTATCCTATCTGAGCTTTAATACGGTATTTTCTTTTTTTTTATCATCTCTTTCATCCATATTCTCACATCATTTTGTGTTTTTTCTTGACCTTGTAAGGCCTTTTCTTGACCTTGTAAGACCCCGTCCCATATATGTCGCCTCTGTCTCTCATCTCTGTGTCCAATCTTTCTGTGTCGTCGTGTCTTCTAAATGTTTATCGAGTTCGTCTTCTCCTCCCTTGTCTATCCCTCCTGAGCTAGTCTCTTTCGGAAATATAATATCCACAATGTTGTTGTATCGTATGTATGTATGATAGTTTTCTTATATGTTTTGTGATTTCCACAATAAATAAAAGTGTCGATACATGTCGGTTATATTTCCCGTATGAATACACGAGCCTGTTTGCATTTATTCTCCATTTAAAAAGGAGGGTAAAAACTCTCGCTTTCGGGGGTCTGCCATGGCAATCAATTACAAATTGGTAGTATGTGGGCAGAAAGAATTATGCCCTCTCTCTCTCTCTCTTGTATCGTGTCCTTTTGTTTTATGTGCTGTTTGGCTGACCGGAAAGTGAGAGAAAATAATAAATATTCTCTCAGAATTTTCTGTGTGTATTTAAGAGCTCTCCTCGTCCACTCGTGACTGTTTCTCGCTTTCTGTACATTTTCCTTTCTCTTCTTTTATTTTTTTGCCCCTTGATAAATGCCCAACTGTCCTTTTGTAATTTTACTCGTAACGAGTGTATCATACGTATTATATACAAGTATACAACTCTCTCTCTCTCTCTCTCTATATATATATATATTTATATATATATATAATGTAGCAACTTGTATATCATCAAACAGCGAGCTTCATTTAAACGAAGCCGAAAGACATATGCAACAGAAGGGATCATCTTATACTCCATCCGTTTCAAAATAATTGCAGTTTTAGATTATTTTATATGTTTCAAAATATTTTTAGTTTTATATTTTTCAAGACATTTTTTTATAATAGTTTCTAATTTTATCCCTACTAAATTTTAATACATTATTAATGGTTACATTGTTTTTATCATTAAATAATAATGGTGTATATGACTTTTGATTCATTTTCTAAAAAAATGTGAAATAATTTAAAACAACAAATATTTTGAAACGGAGGGAGGGGTATCTTTTTAGACCTCAAGGGTTGAAATGGTAAATGAATCGAACATCCGCTGTTAGAGAAACCATGACGTTGTGATTTGTATGTAGTTGCAAGTTGCAACGTTTGTCCAATTATTCAAATTAAAAACTATTAGGAGTTTGTCCAATTATTCATGCATATATATATATAAAGGGTTGAAATATCTCTAACAGAGGAAAAGCTGACTCGCCCTTTCGTGTTGTTGCATATACGAGAATAAATGCGATTTCCATCATTTTTCCATTCCTCGTAAGCCCATATGGACAGATCATGGTAGTTCTTTATAACATTTTCATGTGTATATATGTATATACACTGTTGTTTTGTTACCCCTTAATTCCAATCTCTTTTCAACTGTCGTGACATACGCGTACGCAATGCCTAATTTTGTTCATGGAATATATATATATATATATACACACATACGTGTATGCTAAATTGCTACTCATAGTTTCATAGCAAATAAAAAACTTGGTGTTCCGTTTTATTTTATATCTTTGAGAACCAAATAAATCCTTTTTAAAAAAAAATAATTTTGTCTACCGAAGAGATAACGAGGATACTAGATTTCTGATCTAACCTCTGATAGCTACATTTCCCTAACTCAATTATCACACCTTTATTTCTATTATTTCTTTCGTTTTCGGATTATATAGCTAATTTGACGC